TTCCCGAAACAACGTAGGCTGAGGCCTTCAAAAACATGTTTTACCTTCTCAAATCCGACATCAAGAGTCTTTGTTATAATATAGTTGGGAGGAAAAGCATATTTACGGTAATATTTCTAAGGAAAGGGGGGGTTTAGGACGGAGGTAGGGTTTCCCTTTTTAAGATATTGAAAACCATTCCCCAACTAATCAGCCCGTCAAAATTTAGCTCTGTAACTTTTTGTGTCGGAGATCTTTGACCTTATCTAAAAATTTAACTTCATTGCAAAATAAAGTAATTTTATCAAGCAATCTATAAAAACCACATTAACTTTACCCTAATATTTAATCCTATTTTATCGCAATTGCAAAACATTTCTCAACTGTGTTAATATCAAATTATAACCATTAAATATAATAACCCAACATAATAGTCAATCAATTTGCCTGTTTATCTTTAATTTACAACTGGTAATTACCTAATTAACATTTGTAGCTGCAAAGGTCAGTTTCTTTATAAATATCAGTTAGTCTATTATGCTAATGTCAAAGTGGAAATATAAGATTGTTTGTCTGTAGGTGTAAAGGTAATTGAATCTTTAAACGTTATAGACCAAGAAAATAATAAAATGAAAAAGCTTTTGGAACAATCTCCAGTTAACAGACTTTTCCCGATCTATTCTGGATCTTATACAAATAAAAATTCTTAATAGTTCCAGATCCAGATAGAATGTCTGAATGGAAATCATACAAATATGTATTTATAAGGTTACTTTTAATTAAGCACATTTTTTAAGAGCGTGTTCTACTGACAAAACTTTACTTCTAAATGTGAAAAATAATTTAGACCTGTTTGTACGGAACAAACGTGCTGAAAAAGTTCGTAACTTAGAATGTTTCTTTTTCATATTTTGATGTAAAGTTTCTGATAAAAGTAGAAAAAAGTTAAAATATTAAAAATAACCTTAGGTATTATTGGATGGCGCAGTAAAAGCTTACATGAATGAACGGAGGTCTCCTACATACTTCTGTCGATTTATGAAAACGATGCTGAAAAAGTCTTATATACCAAATTGTAGTGGGATCAAATAAGTTTTAAGTAAAATTGCAGCTCTAACAGCTAGTTGTGAGATAATTTGAGGTTGTCAAGGGAGTGTTGTAATCCGAAGATATGTGTGTCGCCAATGCTTGATCATAAATCATTTTATAGGTGGGATCAGAGTACAAGCGATTATTTTTCATACAAACCGTTTTACAAGGTCTAATCATATTGGAAGGAAAGAATATTGTTGACATTTCACGCGAAAATCCTTTCTGAATTTTAGCGTTTGCATCACACTTTATAAAGGAGTTAGAATAATAATCTTTTGTTTAGTTTATTTTTGATAATCAATTTATATTTTAACAATTGACAATGTTATTAAATTTATTTTATTTTTATCTAATTTAACTGTGACAATTGTAATGTCCATAGACATTCTTATTTTATGTAATGTTCTTACTTTGATAATTATCATCTTCCTGCCCTTATTCCGATTTGATAATGTAAAATAATAAATAAATCAAAACAAATGTACTAAAATGACTTTTAACGTTACAATTTATTTAAAGCCTTTAAAATATACTTTTACTTGACTACACTTACTAAACCCGCTCACACTAAAGCCCCACCCCGACAGGGAAATGTTGTCCGTGTATTTAATGACTTCGATTAATGTTTTAATTCATGTTCGCAATAATTTAATATGCTCTGGCCTCTCTCTGCCCACATCAATTCGTTTAATCCCTCATTTTGGAGATGTGAATAAGGTAGAAGGAGTTTTGCAAACAAATAAGTACAATAAGAAGTTAAGTAAGATTTAATGGATACAACATAATTTCCAAAAAAAATACAACTTGTATAGTAACTATAGAAAGATTATTCAACGCGACTAAGCAACAAATTTTGTGTTAAATTTTGTGTTTACGTGTGTAATTGAATGACATATTTTTTTTTAATTATGTCATTCAATTACACACGCAGCCATACAGTTTTGTATTTATGTTTTTTTATTATTTGTAAAGTAATGAATATTCCATTAATAAACAGGGCTTTCTACATCAAATGACTTTATGCTTATTTCAAACTAAGAGCTTTTGCTATTCACCTCATAACGTTAAAATTCTGAGAATAATTTGTATTCCAATAGTTTTTTTTTTGTGTGATTAAGAGTACTTGAGGAGATGCTCCAAAGTCTGAATGCCGCAAGCCTTGAGGTTGGACTTCATATGAACAGGATAAAGACACAGCTGATGACCAACAGCACGAGACGTAGGGTGCAGGTCGATGGGCAGACAATACATTATGTTGATGAGTATCTATATCTGGGCCAGATTGTCTCGTTCGATAACAGGCAAGAAAAAGAGATCGATCGCCGGATCGAGAACGCTTGGAAGAGCTTCTGGTCTCTAAAACAATTTATGAAAGGCGATCTGCCTTTATCACTCAAAAGAAAACTCATCAACATATTGTGTATCCTGCCCGTCCTAACCTACGGTGCTCAAACGTGGTCTCTCACAGAAGGTCAGAAGTCCAAACTCAAGGTTTGCCAAAGAGCGATGGAGCGAAGTATTTTCGGCGTCAAGAGAACTGACCGAATCCGGAATACAAGACTTAGAGCGCAGACAGGCATCACCGATGTAGGGAGAAAAACTGCCAAGTTGAAGTGGGATTGGGCCGGGCACGTCTGCAGGATGCACCCGGATCGATGGGCCAAAATCGTCACGGACCACTGGGTACCTCAAGGCGGGTCCCGTCGCAGAGGTAGACCCCGAAAAAGATGGCGTGACGATTTTGATGCTTATCTGAAGGAGTGTACGGAGGTTGCACTAGACCGCAACAGGTGGAAAACCGCGGGGGAGGCCTTTGCCCAGCAGTGGGATCTGGTAGGCTAACTATAATAATAATAATAATAAGTTGACCAAAAGTCCGTGGAAATGTCGTATCTCTCCTGAAAAGGGTGAATAAATTTTCAAAAAAGTAAAAATAATAATAAGAGTAAGTATTATGTTTTTGCTATCTACTTTTCCCTTTATGCTAGGCTCCTTCCATTTTATTTTAGATCTGAGACACATGTATAATGTCAATAATTAATTACTCTTTGATCAGACATATTGACATTTATCTTGTCCAATTGTTGCGATATGCCTTTTTTTATGTAGGTTTTTACGGGCAACTTCCTGACATAAAAAATGTGAACTTACCCTGTGAATATATTTCAATGCTATGTGATGCAATGTGTATCTTTTAAATCAGGTATGCGTTACCATTTATTTGAGAATTAATTTAGGTATATAACTAGTTAAATAAATGAAAAACCTAGATTATTGTGCTCACAGATATAAAAATTAATATATAATGCATAAGTCATAAAATTATAATGTTTGTGACTCTGTATTTTTTAAGTGTAATGAAATGATTATTGTTTTAATAAGAGCAGGAAGTAATAAAATTATTTTAACTGAGTTGTTCTAATTAACATTTTTACAGCTTGCTTTTAAGTTTTATACTTATGCAAAAGTAATTACCTAGTTATATTTACAATTTAAAGTTCTGCTTATTACTAAATCCATTAAAAGTAACTAAGCAAAGCCACTTGTTCGCTGTGGTAACTGTATACCTTACCAGTAATGAAACTTTACATAATATTTATAGGTGTCGCAGTACGATGGCAGAATTAGGTTTTTGGCCAAAAACCTAGGTTTTTGGCCAAAAGCCGGCATATGGCAAAATCGTAGACTTCTTTCGGTCATCGTCCTAAGCTGATCCAGGTTTTTAGCCAAAAACCTAGGATTTTGGCCAAAATCCTAAATTTGTTTAGTATTATGGCTTCTTTTTGCATCTCGCGGGAACTTCTTCTTCTTCGAGTGGTACACCAAGTCACCCAACGACCCGATGAACCCTGGTGTTAGTTTTTAAACCGCCAACTGCAAGATGCAGGCCTCAAGACAAGGTTGTGTAACGACTGCCGTCTAAGTGATCATAAATCATAGTGAGCAATCGGGACCGACGGCTTAACGTGCCCGTGTAGTTCGGGCATACACCTCGAAAGGCAGGAGGTAGCATTGGACGTTCTGGAGGGTGGGAGGTAGCGTTAGACGCTCTGGAGCGCGTGGGTAGCGTCAGACACTCTGGAGGATGTGAGATGAAGGGCGTTGGATTTTCTGGGGGTCCGACGCTACCTCCTGGTCTCCAGGGCGTCCAACGCTACCACCAATCCTCTAGAGCGTTCAGTGGTACGTCCTGCTCTTATGGTGTCTGATGCTCCCCCCTGTTCTTCAGGGAATCCGAGGCAATCCTGCTGTCCAGACTGTCTGATGTTACCCCCCGTCCTTCAGGGTGTCCATTTACGGAGTCGAAGTCTACCCTCAAAAGATCAGAGGGAGGTGCATAAAGTACCTCTCCACTCCTCGTTCCCAGAACCACGGGCACGGTAAGCCGTCGGTCCCGATTGCTCTCTATGATCACTTAGACGGCGGTCGTTACACAACCATGTTAGAGGCCTGCTACTTGCAGTAGGCGGTTGAAAACTCTGATACCAGGGTCCATCGGCTCGTTGGGCGACTTGGTGTACCACTCGAAGACGAAGAAGTTGTCCGGAAATGAAAAAAAGCCATAATACTAAACAAATCTAGGATTTCGGCCAAAATCCTAGTTTTTTGGTCAAAAACCTGGATCAGCTAAGGACTATGGCCGAACGAAGTCTACGATTCTGCCATATGCCGGCTTTTGGCCAAAAACCTAGGTTTTTGGCCAAAAACCTGATTCTGCCATCGTACTGCGACATAGGCATCTAAAGGTAGCTTACAGGTTTTTTCGAAAATGGAATTATGAACTTAAAGAAAAAAAAAAAATTCTATACCTAGGTAATGATTTTTCTTATGACTCTCAAATTTGGTGAATGGCCGTTTTTGCAGCTGTTTACGCTCTGCTTAGGTACCTCAAAAGGATTAAAGTCGAGATGTAGACAGGCTAGAATAGAACCGCGGTAGCCCAGTTGGTAGTGGCGTTGGCAGTTCAGATGGTGAAGGTAGCCAGTTCAAATCCTGCCTGCGGTGGAAAGTTTTGCAAGCCTGGAAATAGTTTTATTCTTTATCTAGCACGGGATGTGATTGTTTGGTATCCAATACTATGATTAAGTACGTTGTTTTCATCTGACATCGAACCTGTTCTTTATGCTATAAATATATTGCTTAGTGTAAAATTTATGTTTTATTTACACTGCTAAAGTGATTGAAGTCCCCAAACAAGAGTCCGTGCTATAGTTTTCAAAGACAGACAAGAGTAGACCAAAATAATTTGTATGAGTTGAGGTTCTTTGGTAAAAGACGTTCTTGGGTTGCTTCACCTCTAGAAATACATACAGCTATTTCCACATATTGTTTTCTCGGCCATAAAGAAACAACAATAATTTCAACATGCGACGCCATGTTTTCCTCCGAGTACCAATAATGTATAAGATTTACGAGTTGATTGGTATTCAATGGGTCATAATTACAGAACTGCGTGTAACATATTAATTACGAGTTGTCTGGCGACCGCCCATGTCCATAGTTGCCATGGTATAAGTAAGTAGTTGGCTTATTATGTTCGTGCTCATATGAATGGATATAGCCTTCAATATCGAATTTATTATTTCTATATTGCTCGTAAATTAAATTATAGGTTTTATGAATTGACGAGGGTTTTTTCACGTTTTTAATGTAATGTATGTCAAAGATATTGTAGGTCAATTGGAATAAACCAATCACTGATAGATACAAATCTATCAGATGGGTCAAAAAAGCAAGAATTCTATATTCATATGTTTGGACCACCACCCGGACCACCTCCCAAAATCAACAGCAATTGTTTTGCTACAATCAAAAGAATCTCTCTAGGTGCGAGGATTGCTGGAGGGTAGACAAAAAATACACACTGAGACGACGTAACTACTCGTATAGTAAAATACGACAGACCTACTATTACGATATACCTATCTGCTCAAAGTCAGCAACTTCTTACAAAGCGCTTGTCAAATTTCTTGACAAGTTTAATCGTTAAAAGTATGGCAAATACAACTCAAAAGGGAGAAGCTCAAGTACAGTAGTGGCTTGTAGTGACTCTTGATATTTACTTATGAACCATCTCGAAACCAAAAATAACACGCGAAATGATTATCACCATATTTATGATGCTGGTACCTCATACCCATCAATTTGGCTTGTTCATACCTATGATTAGCCAGTCCACCATCATGACATTACGAGTAATATTATGTACCTTATTATAGGGCCTTAAAGTGGTGTTGGGTCGTTTTATTTTAGCTCTGTCTTGTGGAAAAGATAAATTGGTTTAAGAATTGTGGGTTGAGGATAATGCGAGTCATGATCTGATCTCATCTGTAAAAGTAAAGCTAGGTTAACAATCAAAACGAATACAGTTGAAAATAAAATTTAAGAAAAAATGTATTTTTAATATAAAAAATATTGTTATTTTACTTTGAAATAGTTTAATTTTTCTTTGACATAATCTTATTTATGATGAATTTGAAAATTTTGGACGCCAGAGTCATCAGGTTTTTATATAATTTCATCTTTACTCCAATACAGTTCCTCAGTATCTACTGAAAAAGGTGCACGCGAAACAGCGTCGGCTCTTACGTTCCTAATAACACACATTACCCTTTTTCCATCACCTCCGAAATAACTATGCTTACCACACAACCAAACCTTAAGGTCCTTTTTGTCCCCACCCTTTTACAAAAGCAAATTGTTTCCGACAGACGTTGGTATAAATAAACACGGACCGAAACCTCTCATTATCATCCGAGATTACAGACCCGCAAATTATACACCTCCTCTTATAATAGAGGACCCTGTCTTGTAATACTGAGGGCTTTAGCACTTGCGTGAGTGAGAAATGAGAGTTGGCTTTTGAGAGTAATTTTTGATATGACGCCTTTTGAAAAAGATTGTTTATTGTGTTTTTTACAGGACAAGAAACTACAATTTGTCAAAAATGATTATGTTACAACCGATGTGGCGCAGTGGTTAGTATGCCTGCTTGCCACGCAAAGGTTCCGGGTTCAATTCCCGGTGGGGTCACTCACAAAATTGATATTTATCACTTTGTGAATTTGTTCCCAGTCTGGTTAGGACATTGCAGGCTGAACCACCTGATTGTCCGCAAGTAAGATGGTTCCGTGCTTCGGATGGGCACGTTAAGCCGTCGGTCCCTGTTGCTGTCTATGATGGCGGTCGTTACACAACCATGTCAGAGGCCTGCTACTTGCAGTAGGCGGTTGAAAAACTCGGACACCAGGGTTCATCGGGTCGTTGAACGACTCGGTATCCCACACGAAAAGAAGAAGAAGATTGTGTTGTGAGCCGTTTTTTAGTTCCTTAATAATTAAATCTTCTAAATCTCTATAACCACAAAAGTTTTGGTTCAGCATCTAGTACTCGGGTCAAGTCTCCCGTGCTACAGTTCTTTATCTAATACAATAACATTACCTATATTGAAATGCCTCATGACTTGAATCAGTGGGGTTAAATTTTAAATTCTTTGTGTCCAAATCTCCTGCACTCTTTTCAGCTTTTCATTTCATTGCGTTTCTCGCAAAACGTTTTAGCACCATCATTATGCAATTCAAAACCTAAAAACGTGATCATTAACATAACCCCACTTGACCATAATTGGTTTCGTTTTTGGCAGCTGTCAGTTTTGGAGTAATTTTCCAAAAGACAATGGGGCGATAACACTTTCCGAGAGATGGCGCTAAATTTACCAATAAGTGGTTGCACGCAATGTGTTTTTTGCATAAGATTTTATAGTGATTCTCCATAAATAGAAAGGATGGATTTATGAAACTGCTAAGTGATGCCAGTGAGTTCAGTTGTGGAATTTAAGGTAGTTTGGGAAATTAGGTGCGTAAAGCCCTTGGATGACTCAAAAAGCTGCAATTGAACTTTATGTAGCGGAATCCAATCCTTAATTTTGTGAAATCTCTGTATGTAGGTACGTACTTACAAATAGAAACAACAACTATAGAAATGCGTATGATATTAACCCTAATGGTACCCTTATTTTCCAAGCGTCGCGACAACGACGCGCGTCAACGACGCCGTCAAAATTTGTTGCCGCCGTTGTCGCTGCGGTCTTGTAGAAAAACCCGACCGCATCCCATACAAACTCTAAGCTTCTCAGCGCGCTGTCAACGTGACGGTGTCGTGGCGCGCCACTCTTTCTGGTTCCCCATACAAACTAGTCATTTGACAGCGACAACGACGCGCGTCGTTGTCGCTGTCGCTTGGTTTTTAAGCCTACCATAAAGTCAAAAACAACACAAGAAATACGTATAACATTAACCCCAATGCTAATTACGTTGGACGTTGTGAGGTGCCGACAGCGACGGGCGAGTGACGACTGTAATCACTTCATTCTGTCACGAAGCCATGACATGACGACCGGACTTGACAAGCCGGGGGGAATACGTCATGATAAGCCGTAATTAGAACTTGGGCCTCGAATCTGTCGACGCATCTTTGACATTTGTTGACGTATCGCTAAAGCGATATGACGCTTCTGGCTTCGGTTACTATTTTTGCCGTTTTGGGAACGGTCCATTACGGCATTTGTTACCAAAATCATGCTCGTCTTGCTTAGAGCCAGCAATGTAGGGCTCTGTACGCGCGTTTTAAAACACTGTCATTTAATTGCCAAAAAAATGATACGTCAAAAAGCGATAAAAAAAATTGTGTCCGCCATCTCTTTCACTTTTTATGGCAACAGTAGAAACAGAAAATATGTTTCAAATATCGTTCATTCCATTCATTCATATATCTGTCAGATTCAGCATTGTTTGTTTACAAAACAATATTTTTTAGAAATCCATCTAATTTAGTATTGAATAAACAATTTTCAAGAATATTTTGAAAAGAATGGGTAACAGCGTCCCTTGCGTGTTTAACATCCTACAATGTGCTCGCCAACACATCTACCAAGAGTGTGGTGGAGTATGGACCCAGCAGTGGACTATTGTAAGTGTAATAAATTATTCATTTACCTTCTACTTTCTGTTTGGATTCTTTGGAAAACGTATACCTTACGCAATAACAGTAGTAAAAACAATAATGTAAACTATTATCTATCATAGGTACGACGTTGTTGGATGACTCCGTGCGTGTCCCACTCGAAAGAAAAAAGACAAGATGTATTATGTAATGTATACTATGATCATCATCGTGCGGCAGACTCCTGCAGCCGACCTGACTCCGCACGTATCGACCCGTCGTTCCTGTGGATTCAGCCAGGAAGGCCGTAGAAGGGTGGCGCAGGTCCTGGGTAGCCATGCGTTTTCCATAATTGCCTCCCAGGCAACGCAGTGTCTGTAAAGAGCGTGCAAAAAGCCATGCCGCTCCGCATCGGCTTATACACAGCCAAAAATCTCGCCTCAGCCACTGAATAAATCGTCTAACACAGACGTATGAGGCCAATGATGATGACGATTATTGCAATAGTAATGAGCTGAGCTGAGCGTCGCGTTTGTGTGTGATTCAAAAGAGTGGACTCTGCTTCCGACCGCCTGTAATACCAAAACACTTCGCCTGCCTCCTGGAAGAAGTTGCACAGAGAAAGCGAAGAGACACATGATGATGTCGTCTTGAGACGAATGACATAACCACCAGCACATAAATCAACACCGTAAGTTATTTAGATAAAGACTCACAATACACCACGTTAAGTACGATTCTAGATTCGCTGCCGGGTATCTACACACCGCCAGTCAGTGTGCTTTCTAAGTTACAGTATTGGCACCAATGACCCCTCTACCAGTTTACGTTTTCCTACTAATTATTTCGTGAAATGAGATAAGTGTATTTTAGTTTTAGTTGCATTTTAAAGTTCTTTTTAGGGTTTCGTAGTCTACTAGAAACCCTTATCTTTTCGGCAAGTCTGTCTGTCTGTCTGTCTGTCTGTATGCCGCGCCCTCATAACTTCGTCAGTTTTAGAGCTATCGACATGAAATTTGGTGTGAAGATAGATCGTGTTGACCCAAACTAAGAGATGTTGAGAA